GAGAGAGAGAGAGAATAAACTAACATTTGCATAAAGCATATGTTGATAAGAATATTAAAAACTTGAAAGATATTCCTCTAAGGTAAATTTAGAACAGATTAAAAATGTGCGATTAATCGCGATTAAATATTTTAATCGACTGACACTACTTCAAACGTGTGAATTATTCATTATTCTGACACCCATTTAGATAAAAAACACTTAATATACAAAGAAAATACTCATGTTTTACTGTTCTCTGTATTTGTTTAGACAAGTCTCCATCATCACTGGCTTCTAATAAATCCCTCAGTGAATGAAATCAAATCAAAGCAACACGATAAAAGATTATTTCCTTTAAGACGCTTCCCCTCCTCTCAGCACCTGCCTGTTTGGCCCCATCGAGCCTCATAACTGCCCGAATTAAAGTCTTATTTAGCAGAAAAACCCCAAAAACTGGATTACAGTCAGTTTCCTCATCCTGCTGCATGATTAATTCCCAAACACGCCACAGTCGCACGGAGCCAGATGTTCAATTATTCACATTTCCTTAATGATAATATCACAGTGCGCAGCTTAGATCACAATCAAGCACGGCTGCTTAATGGGGAGCGTGGAGAAAGGGAGGGGTGCAGACATTTAAACACATCTTCTGTTTTAAAATACTGAACTGTGTCCGCCACGAATCTAAATACTGAGTCACTGCTGGCGTTGTTTAATACTGTCTTAATATGATATCACAAACTGCAGGAGGGGTACAAGCAGGTGTGTGTTTAAATGATTCTGCTGGTTTATAAGCTCCAAAAAATGAGGAAAATTACAATTAATTTTTACTAATTGCTGTGTTTATTTGAAAGACTATATCTTGGGGGACAATTATCACAAAAGAAGTGACATTCAGTCCTAAAACCCTGAAATGAGTCAGTATTTTCGCACTTCCTCGTCTGGCAGTGTCTACAGATGACTGTTAGACTACAAAATATTAAAATTGACGGTGAGGAAACGTTGTGTTTTTGAGTTGTTCGACCTGTAGTTTCAGTGTGACCCTTTAAACATTAGAGCCTAGTAAAATAATATACGCTTTGTGTGTTTATTCCAGAGATCTGTGCCTAAACAATAACCACCTAAACCCAAATTCCTCGATCAAAGAGAACGAAAATGAAGCATCGATAGAGACTGCTGTTGGATAGATATGAAGAGAGGAAGTTACCCCAGAGCTCTGAATCCGGACTGGTCCAGGTGGGCCGGCTGTCGGTGCTGGTTGAAGCCCGTTTGGGGTCTCCATGGTTGTCTGTTCCCTCTCTCCCAGTCCCCGGGCTTCAGCACCGCATTGGGCATCCTGAAGACACAACAACAACAACAGTTAAAGTACATTTTTATGTGAAATCACAGAGATGAGGGCGGTCATTTTCCATCATCCATCAACTGCTTTTAAAATCTGTCATTAACGTTTGGTTTTTTTACTCTGTAAGGTCCTTGAGTTTCAAGAAAAGCTCTATGAATAAAATATATTATTATTATTATTATCAATCCGCCGCTGAAAATAGTTCCAACAAATTATCACTAGAGCACCATATGTGTATCAATCCGCTGCTGAAAATAGTTCCAACAAATTATCACTAGAGCACCATGTGTATCAATCCGCTGCTGAAAATAGTTCCAACAAATTATCACTAGAGCACCATATGTGTATCAATCCGCTGCTGAAAATAGTTCCAACAAATTATCACTAGAGCACCATATGTGTATCAATCCACCGCTGAAAATAGTTCCAACAAATTATCACTAGAGCACCAAATGTGTATCAATCCACCGCTGAAAATAGTTCCAACAAATTATCACTCGAGCACCAAATTTGTATCAATCCGCCGCTGAAAATAGTTCCAACAAATTATCACTAGAGCACCAAACTTGTATCAATCCGCTGCTGAAAATAGTCCCAACAAAATCACAATTTCCTATTTGATAAAAACAGAGCAGCTTTTTGGGGAAATTACACATAAAATATTAGTATATATATTTGTGTTTTTAAAAGTACTTCCTTAGTAGGAACTAACCACAGACCACAGAGAACCACAGACTGAAATCATATTTGAGGTATTTTCATGTTATTTTTAGACGTTATAAGAAATACTGTCATTACCAACTTAAACCTGCAAAATGTTTTTCATAATTGACCCTGAAACTGAAAAATGAATATTTTCTTCTCGTTATGCAATAGAAAAGTTGTTTTAAATCATATTATATATATTTGTTTTTAATAGTTCCCAACAAAAATTAACTAGAGCACCAAATGTGTATCAATCCGCCGCTGAAAATAGTCCCCATCAAAAGCTAAATATCCAATTGTTTGATAAAACCTAAATTGAGCAGCTGTTTTGGGAAATTACAGATATAATAATTAATGTATATATTTGTGTTTTTAAAGTACTTCTTTAGTAGGAACTAATAGCCTGAGAACCACAGACAGGAATAATTATTTTAGGTCTTTTCATGTTATTTTTAGACGACATGAGGTGCTAAATGAACTCCTATGTTAACACCTGAGACAAAAAGGCTTCAACATTTGGTAAATCATATCTGAGATGAAGTTTAATAAAGAAAAACCCCTCACTTTGCTCCGGAGAGGAGGACCGCCTTGAACACAAAGTCTTTCTCGAAGGCAGGATCCCTGAACTTCACTCTGGAAAAGGAGAAGAAGACAAATCATTTCACAACGAGAACAAACACTCTTCCATTAGCTCACATCTTCAGAGTTTGTGGAGCATTATTCTGGTTGTCATTTTCAACCTGCCTCGTCTTCCTCACCCTGTTATTTCCCCACATGCTCCTTCCTGACTGCCTTTTCTCCCTCTAAATGTGTATTATTCTAAAGAAAGGTGGCCGAAAAATATATAAGTATATGTATGTGTATACTAAGAACTGTATACTGAGACGATATAAACAATGCATACATAAGGTTTTCTGTGTTTGTTTCCAATGTTTTTATATGCTTCAATAACAGGTTGTATTGAAAGAGAATGGATAGACAAAATAACAGGAACACCTAGGCGTTACTGGAGAAGGCCTTAAATTCAGATTATGAAATGTAAGACTTTTTAAGACCCCGCGGGAACCCTGTGAAAACACATCTAAAAATACGTTTATCACGTCTGCTTTTAGACAATTTATGGGAGAGCTTCTCACCCGATGGCGCTGTTGTGTGCGATGTCTCGCAGCGTTGGGATGGGGGACGTCACTGGCCTGAAGAATAAATGTTAAATAAAGGTTAATGAGGAGGAGGGGTCGCCATGTTGGATCAGAGCATCAGAGAGTTTGTTAAAAACATCAGAACACGAGATCAAAATGTGAGAATAAAGCGTCCTTACTGATCTGGTAGAATAGGTTTGTCGTCAAGGTTTAATAAACCCTGGATCCCATGGCACAGCTCTGCAGGGATCTCAGTGTCCTTAACGAGGAAAATATGGAAGTTTTAATCAATTAATAAATTAGGATTTTGTTAAATGACCAGCAGAAGAAAAAAAAAAAGTATATTTCTCAATTTTTTATTGACTTATTTTGGACATCACATTTTTTTCTTACGGTAAATAATAAATATTAAGATATATAGAAATATATCAAAATATTAATATCATTTCCTGCATTTTTTGTATATATTTAAGCATCTATACACACACACTCATGACTTACATACATAAATACAGTTAATGATAAAAAACTACCAAAATAAAGTAAAATATGGAGATTTGTTCATTTTTTAAAATGTATTCAGGCGTTTTTTGGGCTTAATTTGCTTCGAAGTCACTGATAATATGTACGTTCTCAATAAGATGAAGTCTTTCCATTCTGATATCTTTCATTGACGGCGTTTCTTTTGTTTATTCGGTCATTATTGTCACTTTTTCTACTCTTTAAAGTCCATTTTATTCAATGTTGAACTTGTTCCAGCAGTGACTGTGCTGCAAATATACTCTAAAAGTCTGTAAAGTTGTGCTTCTCTCTTCAGATGTGCTCATTAGGAAAAATATGAGTAACAATAACAATTTGCTTTGGTTTGCAAAATGCATAATCAACAAGAACAAATCCGACTCAGGCGACACCTGCTCAGCGTCAGAGACACATCTGCAGAGGAGTGATGCAGCAAGTTCGATTCACAGAAGATTATTATTGTTTTTATTCTCATCACAGGCTGAGCAGCTGAGAGAGGAGAGAGTCAGCTGCATAACAGTTACAATATCCTTAAACAAATGTTGATTTAAAGATGCAATTAAACAATATACTGAGAAAACTAGCTGCTACTTCATCAAATGTACTGTGAAGTTGTTGGTGTTTTATTCTCTATTGCTGAACCACCAAGTTCAATCAAACTAAATACATATAATACCTATAAGTTCCTTCATTAGAAAGTTTACTTAAGAGTAACTCTGCAACTGTTTTCATAACCCAATCATCTTTTTAACAATTCTTCCTTAAAAAAAAGCCAGAAAATGCTTATTTTTTTTTTAATATAGAAATATGACGTTTTCTTGCTTTTCTCTGTTTTATGTTGAAGTGAATGTTTCAGTATTCAAAGTATGTAAAAACAAGACATTAACGGTACGTCCACACGGCAGCATCGCGTGCTTCAACGGAGACGTTTCCAAGTTGAGAAGTTCAACTTTTCAAGTGTCGAAGCGTCAGCCAATCAAATCATATGCCAGTACAAGCTCTAGCCAATCAAACTGCGTGCTTGTGTGTCCGGGGCGGGAGATTAATGTGATTGGTTGTTGGTCGCGCTCCAGACACGCCCACCAGCAAGCGTCAACGCACGCTGCCGTGTGGACGTACCGTAAGACGTTGTATTGGACTTTTGAGAAAGTACGATAGGCTGCCTACTTAAAAGTACACAAATATTTCCATGAAAATACACAAGAAAGTATTTTTAAATATCTTGGTATACTGCTGAGATTGTGAGAAATCACCAAGACATCAATAAAGGTTTTAGCTTAATCTATAAAACGATATGATGTTTGATTTGTATAACGGTGTAACTCAAGTAAAGTACAAAACATGTCAACATTAAAACTACATTTCCCATCAGCCCCTTTGTGGCTCCCCGTCTAAAAGTGCGTCCACAGTTTCAAAGCTTTGTTATAACCAACAATAATTACTTCTAAAGACGGTACAACGCGGTCCCTTTGATTTGAATTGAACGTGTTGTTTCGTGTGTCGTTACCTCGTTAGATTCTGTGCGGTAGAGTTCGTGAATGAAGTCGAACAGCGGGTGAGATTTCCCGACAAACATCAGATCGCTGCCAAGACTGTTCCTCCTCTCTGCAAGAAGACGTACATGTATATAGTAAATCAATGTCATCTGAATAATGTCGACTATAAATAACATGTTCTACCAATGTGCCATCTCATCTCTTCCACTGCCGTCTGTGTGTTAGATTGCAAAGTTCATGACAGACGCTTGTTAAAACTTAAAATCAATCCAACACTAATCCCCTCATCACATACATACATTTAGTTATAGTAAGTTCATTTAAATGGTGTCTTTGTACTCACGTTCCTCAGTAGTGAGGTCGGGGTAAACGTCCGCCAGAGCCGCCCACAGTCTGCGTTCATCGACAAACGGCAACAAGGCCACTCCTTCAAAAATAACAGCACAGATACAGGAAGTTAAAAGTGCCATCCAATGAGAAACAAGCATGCGATATGAATGACAGTGCATGGGGAAAAGTGGATTATCTAGGGATGAATTAAAACATTTTAAAAAACCATTTGATTAGGTTTGTTTATATTAAAAAAAGGCACATTTCCACCACTTATGGGCTTCTCAAAGGTTGATTTAAAGAAGAGTTATTTGGAGGGAAGCGACTCACCCTGCCAGGCGTATTTCTTGCCGTTCAGATCGATGGCAAAGTCGTCGGGGTAGAAGTCGATGATGGCAGAATCCTGAGTGAAAAAGAAGCGTTTAAATACAAAAGTAGGCTTTAAAAATACACATTTTAACATGATTAAGTGGCAGATTATTTGCGAAGATCGAGTCAAAACGCTCAGAGTTGTTTATTTCCTCGCAGATCTGTTGCAGGTTTTTTTATATCCAAACATATCTTTAGGTTTTCCCATTTTAAAAGACCTTCTGAATCGTTGCTCTGATGATTCCTGGGGCATGTTTTATGTTTAGCTTCTCTCTGAAGATGTGCTCATTAGGAGATTATTTAAAGGTCTCCTATTATCCTGTTCTTCATCCATATATCACAGGTCTCATATATATCCAGAGCCTGTCTCTGATTGGCTGAAACACCAAACAGATCATTGCAGCATTACCCATAATCCCCTCTGTTTCAGCCCTGTTTCCAAAGTGCTGATTCTCTGTCTGTTACTTTAGATGAAAATAAGGAGCCCCTCCCCACGCCCCTCTGAGAGAGATTTGGTTAAAAAGAACTCAATGGTGCTCTAGGAGGAGATTCAGGTGATAAGGTGGGGGGTTACCTTGGTTGCTGATTGGCTAATGGTTACACAAGACAAAACATCGTTATGACATCATAAAGTGGCCAAAATCTGATCAGCTCATTTTCAGACAGGTTTTTATAGAAATGGATCAGGAGAAAAAGAGAGAGAATCTTTGTTCCTGAAACTTTCAGAGTCTCTTTACACAGAGGGGACACATGTTGATGAAGAAGAGACATGAAGAAGAGGGGACACATGTTGATGAAGAAGAGACATGAAGAAGAGGGGACACATGTTGATGAAGAAGAGACATGAAGAAGAGGGGACACATGTTGATGTAGAAGAGACATGAAGAAGAGGGGACACATGTTGATGTAGAAGAGACATGAAGAAGAGGGGACACATGTTGATGAAGAAGAGACATGAAGAAGAGGGGACACATGTTGATGAAGAAGAGACATGAAGAAGAGGGGACACATGTTGATGTAGAAGAGACATGAAGAAGAGGGGACACATGTTGATGAAGAAGAGACATGAAGAAGAGGGGACACATGTTGAAGAAGAGACATGAAGAAGAGGGGACACATGTTGATGAAGAAGAGACATGAAGAAGAGGGGACACATGTTGATGTAGAAGAGACATGAAGAAGAGGGGACACATGTTGATGTAGAAGAGACATGAAGAAGAGGGGACACATGTTGATGTAGAAGAGACATGAAGAAGAGGGGACACATGTTGATGTAGAAGAGACATGAAGAAGAGGGGACACATGTTGATGTAGAAGAGACATGAAGAAGAGGGGACACATGTTGATGTAGAGAGACATGAAGAAGAGGGGACACATGTTGATGTAGAAGAGACATGAAGAAGAGAGGACACATGTTGATGTAGAAGAGACATGAAGAAGAGGGGACACATGTTGATGAAGAAGAGACATGAAGAAGAGGGGACACATGTTGATGTAGAAGAGACATGAAGAAGAGGGGGGACATGATGTAGAAGAGACATGAAGAAGAGGGGACACATGTTGATGTAGAAGAGACATGAAGAAGAGAGGACACGTGTTGATGTAGAAGAGACATGAAGAAGAGGGGACACATGTTGATGTAGAAGAGACATGAAGAAGAGGGGACACATGTTGATGTTGAAGAGACATGAAGAAGAGGGGACACATGTTGATGTAGAAGAGACATGAAGAAGAGGGGACACATGTTGATGTAGAAGAGACATGAGGAAGAGGGGACACATGTTGATGTAGAGGAGACATGAAGAAGAGGGGACACATGTTGATGTAGAAGAGACATGAGGAAGAGGGGACACATGTTGATGTAGAGGAGACATGAAGAAGAGGGGACACATGTTGATGTTGAAGAGACATGAAGAAGAGGGGACACATGTTGATGTAGAAGAGACATGAAGAAGAGGGGACACATGTTGATGTAGAAGAGACATGAGGAAGAGGGGACACATGTTGATGTAGAGGAGACATGAAGAAGAGGGGACACATGTTGATGTAGAAGAGACATGAGGAAGAGGGGACACATGTTGATGTAGAGGAGACATGAAGAAGAGGGGACACATGTTGATGTAGAAGAGACATGAAGAAGTGGATTTTGCAGAATAGGTCCCCTTTAAAATACGAGTAATAAGCGTTGGATTGTAAAAGGTCTCCTGCTTCTCTCTCTGGACTCACCGGGCTGCTCATCAAACTCCTCCATGTCGGGGGCAGGAAGTTACCGCTGGCTGCAGGAAAGACTCCCATCAGCTGCTCCAGGGGCTTAAACTGCACAAAGGAACCAAGTCATTTACACTCAGAGTTACAGCGTTAGGTTTTTATTCTAACAAGGATTATTCTAATGAGGAGGAAAAGAGAGAGGGTTGTATTTTCTGACACTTTGAGTCTCCTGTCACCGGGGACACGTATTGATGTATACAAGACGTCAAAAAGTGCATTTGGCATGATAGAAAACGAACTGACTCAAAGGTCTCCTAAGGGTCAATGGAAACATCAACACGCGAGTATCGTGTCTTATGTTTGGTGTTACTGTTTTGATTCTCTCTGATCTTTTTATGTATATTGAACATGAAAAAACAAATCAAGTAGTGACAATAATATTGGATGTTTCAGATTGGTTTAAATGCAAAAGCAGAACCCACTTCTTAAAATAGATGCATATGGAAGTGTGTTTTATATTTGTTGTTGTATTGCAATTACATGATTGCATATCAGAGATTCTTTCCAATACTTTTTCGAGTGTGATGAGATCTAAGAGCAGAGACAGAAAACAAAGAGAAGAGGTTTTGTGTTCGTTTCTTTTTACCGGTTTAGTGTCCTTCTCGAAGTCGTCGAACATCCCTTTGATGTCTTTGAAGTCGGAGGCGAAGGGAGCGTAGTGGAACGGGAAGTACCACTTCCAGGAGGCGCAGCCCTGCAGAAACACACACACACACACACACACACACACACGCATTAACGTCACACACATTCAAGTTCTCTTTTCAACGGTGATAAGATGATACACTTTGGACAAAACATACCTAACAGAACAAAACACTTCTACCTGTGCAATTAACAAAAGCAGCAAATAACAATTATCTTAATAAAATATTGATCATTCACTATGAAGTCTATTACATAAATAACCGGAAAACATTTTTTTTTCTTTGAATGGAATGAATACCTATGGTGATAATTCAATGTAATACATCATTTTTATAGTCTGGTACCTGAAAAAGGTCAAATGGCACTGATGGAACCAGATGTACCCAAATGTGCCGAAAGCTTATTCCGCCTGGAACTTTTTTTTGCTAAATATCTCTAAAATGGTCAAATTTAACTTGTTTTGCCTCAATCTTGATACAGGGTACTTATTATATGTTATAGTTTGGATTCCTAAAGCTTTTAGTCTACCATCCCATCATTCAAGGGTGGTTTTCACTATCTGTAATGTTTGTTCTTTAGGCGGAGGTAAGAATTTACCTTTTTTTACTATGTTCCATCTGAATTTACTCTGACTGAGAAAAATCTATATTTATTCTGACACTTCTACATCCAACTCACAGATGTAACCTTGCTTTGATAAAAGAAATTATTCATATAACCCTTTTAGAAGTGAAGTTGTAGTCATTTGTTCTGGGCATGTCATTTTCGAGCCTGAAACCTGAAAAACAGGCTCGGGGCTTAACAGGTTAAATTGACACACACACACACACACACACACACACAATAACGTTTTAAAAGGAGTATTTCAAGCTCGAAAAACTATAATTTGAACTCGCAAAATAAGTAGTAAACTGTTAATCTTATTTGTCTTTCCATTACTTGCATTGTTTGGTAGTTTCAATTTCTAAAAGACATTTATACATCGATCCCTAACCGATACAGCTTTAAAATGTTCATCATTAAGTGGTGGCTCATTTTTTGCTACGGTTAACGCTCTGAGAAAGTCAGAAAAATGTGATGCATCGGTTATTTGTATTTTGACAAAACATACCTATAAGCACAGAACAGAACAATTCTGACAGTGCATTTAACAAAAGCTGCAAATAACAATTATCTTAATAAAATATTGAATGTTTTAATTGATTTACTATGAAGTCTATTACATAAATGACCGGAGAAATGCACAAAGCAGTCTTTAAATTGCATGATTTGTTCCAAATTTTAAAGATTTATTAATAAAAACACCTGAAGATAGCAACAATTCTACAAAGCCATCGTCAAATTTGAGTTTTTTTTCCCCTTCAATTTAAAGATTTTTAATTCATTACATAAACGTCCGAAAACAGAAACAACTCACGACAACCTTTCCTGTTTTATTCAACAGTTTAAAGACTTGTATTTCTTTAAATGTATATCCTAAAATACCCAATTTAAAGATAGTATAACAATGACAATGAGCAAAATCCTCACATTTGATAAGAGGGTAAGTTAGTTAGTTATTTAGGCATTTCTGTTGTCATTTCTAAAACTTATCAAATGATAATAATTCACATTTTATAGGATATTTGTTCCTTGTGATTCGTTGCTTTTCCCTTTGTGATTCAGAACATTTTAAAGAACTGGACTTGTGTTATTTCCCGACTGACAAAATGAGATAAAAGCTCTAACAGACAGTCAGGAAATAAAGCTTTTCTTTGCCCTTTTTCTCAACAAAGTTTCCCCCGCAGCACAAAGCTTAAAATCCAGTGTGATCAGACCAACGTGGACACGCTGACATTTAAAAACCTCCAGCATGAATCCTGATCAGTTTGTTTAAACTGTATAAAAGCTAAATGTCTTTCTCACTACAGTGTGTGTGTGTGTCTTTCTCACTACAGTGTGTGTGTGTGTCTTTCTCACTACAGTGTGTGTGTCTTTCTCACTACAGTGTGTGTGTGTCTTCTCACTACAGTGTGTGTGTGTGTCTTTCTCACTACAGTGTGTGTGTGTCTTTCTCACTACAGTGTGTGTGTGTCTTTCTCACTACAGTGTGTGTCTTTCTCACTACAGTGTGTGTGTGTGTGTCTTTCTCACTACAGTGTGTGTGTCTTTCTCACTACAGTGTGTGTGTCTTTCTCACTACAGTGTGTGTGTGTCTTTCTCACTACAGTGTGTGTGTCTTTCTCACTACAGTGTGTGTGTGTGTCTTTCTCACTACAGTGTGTGTGTGTCTTTCTCACTACAGTGTGTGTGTCTTTCTCACTACAGTGTGTGTGTGTGTCTTTCTCACTACAGTGTGTGTGTGTGTCTTTCTCACTACAGTGTGTGTGTCTTTCTCACTACAGTGTGTGTGTGTGTGTCTTTCTCACTACAGTGTGTGTGTCTTTCTCACTACAGTGTGTGTGTGTCTTTCTCACTACAGTGTGTGTGTCTTTCTCACTACAGTGTGTGTGTCTTTCTCACTACAGTGTGTGTGTCTTTCTCACTACAGTGTGTGTCTTTCTCACTACAGTGTGTGTGTCTTTCTCACTACAGTGTGTGTGTGTGTCTTTCTCACTACAGTGTGTGTGTGTGTCTTTCTCACTACAGTGTGTGTGTGTCTTTCTCACTACAGTGTGTGTGTCTTTCTCACTACAGTGTGTGTGTGTCTTTCTCACTACAGTGTGTGTGTCTTTCTCACTACAGTGTGTGGTGTGTCTTTCTCACTACAGTGTGTGTGTCTTTCTCACTACAGTGTGTGTGTGTGTCTTTCTCACTACAGTGTGTGTGTGTCTTTCTCACTACAGTGTGTGTGTCTTTCTCACTAACAGTGTGTGTGTGTCTTTCTCACTACGGTGTGTGGGTGTCTTTCTCACTACAGTGTGTGTGTCTTCTCACTACAGTGTGTGGTGTGTCTTTCTCACTACAGTGTGTGTGGTCTTTCTCACACAGTGTGTGTCTTTCTCTACTACAGTGTGTGTCTTTCTCACTACAGTGTGGTGTCTCACTACAGTGTGTAGTGTGTCTCACTACAGTGTGTAGTGTGTCTCTCACTACAGTGTGTGTCTTTCTCACTACAGTGTGTGTCTTTCTCACTACAGTGTGTGGTGTGTCTTTCTCATTACAGTGTGTGTGTGTCTTCTCACTACAGTGGTGTGTGTCTTTCTCACTACAGTGTGTGTCTTTCTCACTACAGGTGTGGTGGTGTGTCTTTCTCACTACAGTGTGTGTGTCTTTCTCACTACAGTGTGTTGTGTGTCTTTCTCACTACAGTGTGTGTGTCTTTCTCACTACAGTGTGTGTGTCTTTCTCACTACAGTGTGTGTGTGTCTTTCTCACTACAGTGTGTGGTGTGTCTTTCTCACTACAGTGTGTGTGTCTTTCTCACTACAGTGTGTGGTGTGTCTTTCTCACTACAGTGTGTGTGTCTTTCTCACTACAGTGTGTGTCTTTCTCACTACAGTGTGTGTCTTTCTCACTACAGTGTGTGTCTTTCTCACTACAGTGTGTGTGTCTTTCTCACTACAGTGTGTGTGTGTCTTTCTCACTACAGTGTGTGTCTTTCTCACTACAGTGTGTGTCTTTCTCACTACAGTGTGTGGTGTGTCTTTCTCACTACAGTGTGTGTGTGTCTTTCTCACTACAGTGTGTGTGTGTCTTTCTCACTACAGTGTGTGTGTGTCTTTCTCACTACAGTGTGTGTGTGTCTTTCTCACTACAGTGTGTGTGTGTCTTTCTCACTACAGTGTGTGTCTTTCTCACTACAGTGTGTGGTGTGTCTTTCTCACTACAGTGTGTGTCTTTCTCACTACAGTGTGTGTGTGTCTTTCTCACTACAGTGTGTGTGTCTTTCTCACTACAGTGTGTGTGTGTCTTTCTCACTACAGTGTGTGTGTGTCTTTCTCACTACAGTGTGTGTGTGTCTTTCTCACTACAGTGTGTGTGTCTTTCTCACTACAGTGTGTGTGTGTCTTTCTCACTACAGTGTGTGTGTCTTTCTCACTACAGTGTGTGGTGTGTCTTTCTCACTACAGTGTGTGTGTCTTTCTCACTACAGTGTGTGGTGTGTCTTTCTCACTACAGTGTGTGTGTCTTTCTCACTACAGTGTGTGTGTCTTTCTCACTACAGTGTGTGTGTCTTTCTCACTACAGTGTGTGTGTGTCTTTCTCACTACAGTGTGTGTGTGTCTTTCTCACTACAGTGTGTGTGTGTCTTTCTCACTACAGTGTGTGTGTCTTTCTCACTACAGTGTGTGTGTGTCTTTCTCACTACAGTGTGTGTGTCTTTCTCACTACAGTGTGTGTGTCTTTCTCACTACAGTGTGTGTGTGTCTTTCTCACTACAGTGTGTGTGTCTTTCTCACTACAGTGTGTGTGGTGTGTCTTTCTCACTACAGTGTGTGTGTCTTTCTCACTACAGTGTGTGTGGTGTGTCTTTCTCACTACAGTGTGTGTGGTGTGTCTTTCTCACTACAGTGTGTGTGTCTTTCTCACTACAGTGTGTGTGGTGTGTCTCACTACAGTGTGTGTGGTGTCTCACTACAGTGTGTGTGTCTTTCTCACTACAGTGTGTGTGTCTTTCTCACTACAGTGTGTGTGTGTGTCTTTCTCACTACAGTGTGTGTGTCTTTCTCACTACAGTGTGTGTGGTGTGTCTCACTACAGTGTGTGTGGTGTCTCACTACAGTGTGTGTGGTGTCTCACTACAGTGTGTGTGGTGTCTCACTACAGTGTGTGTGGTGTCTCACTACAGTGTGTGTGGTGTCTCACTACAGTGTGTGTGGTGTCTCACTACAGTGTGTAGTGTGTCTCACTACAGTGTGTAGTGTGTCTCTCACTACAGTGTGTGTGTTGTGTTTAATACTTTTTAATAGCCTTAATTTTCGCTAAATTGATTTATCAACTTTTAATACTTTTTAAGACCCCGCGGACCCCCTGTGATAATAAAAAAAATGTACGTTACTATAAAGGAATACAGTATTAAAGTAACCCTGTGTGTTGAGAAGACAGCACGTCCTCCACCACCTGCTGAGAGCCTCTTGCATCGGGATTAATTCCCTCCACAGCTCGGTGTATCAGACGTGTTTATGTGGGAGTGACGAAGAGGAGGAGGAAGAGTAGCGGTGGAAATGAAACCCTGCAGATGAAGCGTTTGGACCACTTATCCTTCATGAACAAACGCGACCTTCACTTCCCGCAATGCAAGCAGACCCTCTCTGTGAGATAAACCCGGCGCTCTATTATCAAAGATGCTCATTCAGATGATAATACGGGACGTTAGCATGAGAAAGGGTCTCACTTTTTAATAATCGCACAGATCATTTATGGTAATGCCAACACATGGTTTGTCTCCGGGAGAAATGTATTCGTGACCTTGTTCAGCGGGGTCAAAGGCCATAAAGCACCACAAGAACCATTCAGAAAATATATATCTTGTTATATATACTAAGGGCTGATGTTGGGATGTTTAAAAGATAATTGGAATTAAATAGGAAACGGAAAATCAATTAACAAGCCTGGCCGTGTTGGTTAGAAAAGTATTTTAATTTGTATAAAATACATTAAATAGGGGGTTTTGTTTTGCTCCCACTGAGATCTACCTGTGATCGTTTATTGAGGTGCACATGCCTACACCAGAAGCCCCACCCCCCCCTCTATAAGCCCCACCCCCCCCCCTCTATAAGCCCCACCCACCCCCTGGTGTTATTGATGAGTCTCAGCTGTGATCAGCGCAGTCAACTCGTCTTCGCGGCGCTCGGGTCGAGTCGTCTCTCCTCGTGGATCCGGGTCGACCCCGGCAGAACGCCGAGTCGATGACATCACCACGAGGAGAGGCCCCGCCCCCAGAACGAGAGCGGGGGGAGTGACTGCGACAAGATGGCCGCTCAGCGAATGGATAAACAGCTTCATCATTTCACAGATCTGAGCTCAAGTAAATTAACTACAAATTATGATAAAATCTAAATGTTTAAATTATTTAAAATATAAACCGTATCTATACTAGTATCTAATAAGTGAAAATATCACTTTTTAAAAAGGAATAAAGCCAACTTAATGGCACAGCAAAGAAACTCAAAATACATTTGAAGATGCTGTTATTCACCCAGTCGTATTAATTAGAAAACATATTATATATTATTTTAAAACCAATTAGTGAAGTAGTTTTGCTGCTATACGTGGTTTACTTTTGAAATCTGTATAAAATGACATTTTGATTGAATCTAAAAGAAAATCCAATAGTTTTTTCAATCCCGTCACTTTAAAAGCTTTTCTAAATGTTGGGAAAATAAATACATCCAGCCGTCTCATCTTGCTTTCTTTATGTAGTTTACATTTAAAATAAACTACAAATATATGCGTGAACCGTCCCAAATAAAACCCCTCCTCCCTCGGGGGGGTTTCACACCTAAAACCTGACATTCTGGTTCTTTCTGTATTTGGGATAAACCCGTCTCTGGTGATTTAGCGATGTGTGCGTGACAATCATCCCCCTCTCTGAATTAATGGATTCCTGCAGAGCGGCCCCCTGAGAGTCGCATATAGACAACTCACAATCAGCACAAATCCCCCCCCCCCCCTGGACCCTCTTATTACCCGACGCTGATGACTTCATTTCAAGATAAAGATCAATATTTTACAACAATAGAAATTATTTAGGGTTTAATCACATTGCAAACAATAGAGAGCAGATAGCGGGGTCTCTGCTGTTTGTCCAGACACTCCACAGTAAGCAGTTCTTGACTTTAAAACAGGATAATAAAAAAAACCTGTCGCTCTGTTAGAAAACAGCCCTGATCCCCCGTTAGCATCTTGGGACAGAACGAGTGAGTATCCTGAGATGAGTAGCTTCACTTGAACACTAACTGGGGAATAAATAATTATAATATTGGCTTTTAATCACTCATTCGTGTGAATTTGAACAATCATTTTAGTTGAAAATGTAAGTTTTGTGACTAAAATCATGGTTTTGTGACGGTTCCATTAAAAAAAAATTGCTTAATAACAGATTCAATAACTAAAATGGATTGTATAAACACAAGTTCAAGTAAGAATGTGCAATAAAATTAAAATAAATATGTATACACATGTAAGAATTTCAAGTTAAATGTCTAAAAAAAATCTCAAATACAAAAATGTACATGAACATAAACTAGGAAAATTAAGTAAAAATGTACACTTCATTATATATGAAAGTGTACATTTAATTAATGTATGCAAGGTTGATTTACAATGTTAATATTTATCAGTGTTCTTGTAGATAATTTAATAAAACCTGGAAATGTTTTCCACACAGACACAAAAGATGACACTCGTTTCACCACTAAGTTTGCTTTATGATAGTTTTGTGTACATTTAATGAACACGCAGAGTGGGGTAATTCATATTGATCATCAAAGAATCAAAATGCTAGTTGGGATATCACCTCTCCGTATCACGACCAGTCTGAAGGTGCCATGTTTTCATAAAGCACACTCTTAAGTGTCAAGACATTTGCTGTCTTTACGCCGTGTGATGATTAAAGACTCAGAAGACAAAAGACAACTCTTTGACCAGTTAAGCCCCGAGCCTGTTTTTCATGTTTCAGGATCGAAAATGACATGCCCAAAACAAATGACTACAACTTCACTTCTAAAAGGGTTATATGAATAATTTCTTTTATCAAAGCAAGGTTACATCTGTGAGTTGGATGTAGAAGTGTCAGAATCAATATAGATTTTTCTCAGTCAGAGTAAATTCAGATGGAACATAGTAAAAAAAAAAGGTAAATTCTTACCTCCGCCTAAAGAAAAAACATTACTTATAGTGAAAACCACCCTTGAATGATGGGATGGTAGACTAAAAGCTTTAGGAATCCAAACTATAACATATAATAAGTACCCTGTATCAAGATTGAGGCAAAACAAGTGAAATTTGACCTTTTTAGAGATATTTAGCAAAAAACAGTTCCAGGCGGAATAAGCTTTCGGCACATTTGGGTACATCTGGTTCCATCAGTGCCATTTGACCTTTTTCAGGTACCAGACTATAATAATGATGTATTACATTGAATTATCACCATAGGTATTCATTCCATCCAAAGAAACAAAATTAAATTAAAAAAAATGTATAAATACATTTTTTTTTTTTTTAATTTGTGAAAAAAAAAAAGACCCGCCGACGGGGGCTTAACAGGTTAATTGTAAGCGTTTCCCCCCCCCCCCCAGTGTTACCTGGTAGTAGTTACGCAGAGTGGCGTAATGAGTTATGATTATCAAAGAATGTAATGCTAGTTGAGATATCATCTTGCAGTTTGACGACCAGTCTTAAAGTGCCGTGTTCAGACTCTTTAGTGCGAGTAGTTGCTGGAGAGACATTTGCTTCTGTGTCTCTTGATCATTAAAGTCTTTTTGACCAGTTCATTTGAAGTGTTTCCGCCCCAGCTTTTCAGTGTTACCTGGTAGTAGGGATTAAAGACTCGTTGACCAGTTCATTGTGTCATTAACAATGTTTTCAGTGTTACCTGGTAGTAGGGATGGGAATTTGAAAGCAAATGTATATTCGACCCCCCAAAAAACGGTTAACCGAAATGTAAATATCCTATTAAAAAAAAAAACTTTTGGAAATAAATACATGTTCAAATAAGTATAGAAACCAAGTCGAATTTGTCAAATGTATTGAACTGGTGATCACAGTTTGACAGCTATAGGCCTACAGCTTTCATGTGTGGAGGCGATTCACAATCAGGCCAGCTGTAGAGAAGACCCTCTCAGCTGGAACGGAGGTTGCGGGTATAGCAAGGTATAGTATGTATATATATAAGTTTAATTTGGCATAGTTTGCACTCTACACCGCGCTCACTAACCTGGTCGAAATATTTCCACACATTACTCCTTTTTGACGCCATGTCTGTTGTGTAGGACTCTTCTTAGAGTGTAAATAATTACCGGACTATGACTGGTCAAATATGTTGAATACCGGCAAAACTAAATCTCTCTTGTCAAAATGTCTATACTTTGCCGCCACACACGGATGTGCTTCGAATATTCGAATATTCGATTAATCGTTCCCATCCCTACCTGGTAGTAGTGATTAAAGACTCGTTGACCAATGTTTTGAGTGTTACCTGGTAGTAGTATCTCAGCACCCAGCAGAGTCCCTCCACGTACGACCGCACCACCTTCTGCCTGAAGTCGTCGTCCGTCTCCTCCACGTCAAACTTCGTCTTGTAGTACCTCTGCCTCCAGCCGTCCTCCCACAACCTGCAGGATTAAAGAGGAATATATATAGTGTGTATTAGGATTGAGAGTATGTACTTCTTCTTTTTAAACTTGTGTAAAAGAACTTAGTGACATTACAACACTGCCAATTACTTGGGGGGAAATCTTGCGAGGTGAAGGTTGAAATAAAGTGTGGTTTTTATTTGGTTTTTATTGAAAGTGCCACCCTTTATTTTATTGTTATTTGTTTGTAAAGTAAAGCATTCTATGATTGTATTCTCTGTATAGGAGTTTCACAGCGATTATGGGAACCAATATAAGATAATTTTACTAAAGAAAACTATAAATAAAGTAAATACGCAACGTTTTATGATTTAAAACTCAAATCTAATAAAAACCTTTTTATATATATTTGCCTGTAAAGCGCATTTGAGCAATGTGAAGAGCGCTCCATGTCATGCATTATAGTTTTTATTATTATTAATATTAATATAATGATAATAGGGTTTCACAACAAGACCAGGATTCAACACAAGACCCTTTTACCCATCATCGTCTCCTCACACAGTATTTAGCTCCAGATGCATCACACTGCTCTCTTTGGATTCAAGACAGTGGATTAAACATCATTTTCTCCATCACTTCTGTTGTTTGTGACCTTGAGGTATAAATGTATTCAACACTAAAGTGTACGTGACTGTTGGATGAGTCGATCACATGTTTGTAGATGCACCTAAACGATGCATTTGCTTATTAAAGCTCTGCTCTGAGCATGTATAGGCTGAAATGAAATGTGCATTAACTTCCTCTCCGCTGCAGGAACAGTGTAATGGCTTTGACTTCTGGGTAGATGTGTGTTGTGCACACATAATGAAATACGGCAGAGCATCTCTCTGTGTGTGTGTGTGTGTGTGTGTGTGTGTGTGTGTGTGTGTGGATCCTCAGAGAGCGGCTCTTGAGAGGAAAAGCCTCCATGAATACCAATTCAGCCCGACGGATTTAGCAGCTTTGAGGAGAGCGTCACAGAGGAATTTACCGGAATATTCTTCTCTGCACAGATTAATCACGTGCGGAGGCAAGTGGGAGCTGTTCAGCAGAGAGAGAGGTGTGTGTGTGTGTGTGTGTGTGTGTGTGTGTGTGTGTGTGTAAACAGCTTGTTCTGCAGCACTGTGGAATTAATGAGTGAATCGCTCTAGTTGTGTTTTCTTAAGTGCGAGAAGCAGGACTTTTTTTGGCACATATTCAACGGTTATATTTCCAATATCCTCGCTACGTTGTTGAAAAACCCACTTTTATATTGAAATGCGTAGTGGATGGATCAGACAATTAACTTATTATCTAAATTGTAGCAAATTAACAGCAAAAACACTTCCCTAGTTTTACCTTTTCAATTGTGAGGATCATTAGGATTTAGTCCCTCATAATCAGAAAGTAATATGTGGACATTATTCTGCTGAACTAAACGTGTAAGTATCCTAAAAGTTTATTTGCCACAGAGATTATTTTCTGCAATAAATCAAAATCACATGGAGAAATCCCATTGGCTTTTAGTCGAGGGAACCAGGGAGATGCTGCCTTCAGGGTCCAACACAGAAATACGACATGACATTACTGTGAGTGTACATTTAAGATGTGTTTACCTGACGTCATCTTCGGGCTCCGGCTCGCTGTCACTGTCGTTAGCTTTCCTCTTGACCCCGCGGCCGTCTGTGCTGCCGCTTGGCCCTGCAGACTGGGGAGGAAAACAAGAACATACACATCAGAAAACCAACTCATTTCCTTTAGAAAACAGTGCGAAACAACGGCAGAAAAATAAACACATGCAATTAATTACTCAAAATTATGCCATAAAAATGTCTAGGGATTTTTTTTGCACTTTTGCTTAGATGCATAAGTGGGTCTTTTTTGACCCGGTGAGGTGGTTTTCTTGAAGTATCTTTGTAATTAAAAAATGTTATCATTTCATATTCCAGCTATTCCTCAAAAAACATGTTTTGATATCATGCCATTCAAATTTTAAATTTTATACATTTTAAGAAATTGTAGTTTTTGTATTTCTACCCCAAGTGGGTCAAAAATGACCCGCATGCATTTCCTATGGGATCCTCTGGGAACCTTTGATTCTTATCACCTGTTGCTGTCAGGAATACATTCACTGTAGACCACACAGACTACATCACAAGTGACACCTCTCAGGAAGATTACTTTACACAGCAAGATCTGAAACCTGTCAGTATAATAATAATAATAATAAATGATATTTGTATAGGGCTTTTCAAGGACTCACAGTCGCTTTACAATATAAGGGAAGGTTAGGGTGGGGGGGGTATAGGACTATCAAACTTGATCAACCGGCATGGATTGATGGGGGGTGGGCTATGAGTAGACAAGAGGAGTAGAGATGAGTTTTGAAAAGGGACTGGAATACTGTGAGGGTCTCAGAATAGCGTTTTTTTTCAAAATGTAAAAAAAATGTCTAGAATTATAAATAGTGAAAAATTAAATATAAAATATTTCTAGTGTGAGTAGTCCAAAATATAATACTAAAGATTATACAAGTGATTTTTCTTAACCAGAATGACATAAAAACACATTATTCTAATACGGGTCCTTTTTGACCCACTTATGGAAGAGAGTAGGGTCCAGGCACTCGGGCATCTCAGGGTTAACAGTGAGTATTTATTATTTAAATGCGTTGTTTGAGTCAGAAAACAAACTGATTTCCTGTAGAAAACAGTCATAAAATATATGTAAAAAGTGCATTAAAATGACTTGAGTTGTCCATTTAACAGAACAAATCCAAAATATAATAGTTTATTAACTTTAAGTGTAAAAAAGCCTCAAAACTGAGCAGCTGAAATTTAGGATTTCTTTGCATTTTGTCTAAAAAAGTGACTATTTTTATATTTAAATACGTTGTTTGAGAGTCAGAAAACAAACTGATTTCCTATAAAACAGTGAGAAATAAATGGCAGTCTAGAAACTCAAGATTATGACATAAAAAAAGTCTTGTTTTGTCCATTTAACCGAACAAATATAAGTTAACTTTTGATTTTTTTAACATTTTGTCTTAAAAAGTGACTATTTTTTTTGTTTGAGTGTCAAAAAACAAACTAATTTCCTACAGAAAACAGTCCGAAGAATGGCAGAAAATTATGAAAAACGTGCATTAAAATGACTTAAAACCCAAGATTATGACATAAAAAAAGTCTTGTTTTGTCCATTTAACAGAACGAATACCAAATATAATAGTTTATTAACTTTAAAGAAAAATAAAAGCAAAAAATCCTGAAAACTGAAATTTAGGATTTTTTAGCATTTTGTCATAAAAAGTGACTATTTTTATATTTAAATGCGTTGTATGAGTCAGAAAACAAACTAATTTCCTATAAAAAACAGTCAGAAAATATATGTAAAAAGTGCATTAAAATGTCTTAAAATGGAAGATTATGACTTTAAAATGTCTCGGTTTGTCCATTTAACAGAACAAATACTAAATATAATAGTTTATTAACTTTACATAAAATTAAAAGCAGTAAACCCTGAAAACTGAGCACCTGAAACTTAGGATTTTTTAGCATTTTTGCTTAAAAAGTGAATATTTGTATGTTTAAGAGCGTTGTTTGAGTGTCTTATTGATTTCTTAACTAATCATTGAAACTCTAAACATTTAATCTTCGGCAAAAAAATAATAATTATTGGATTAAAAGCTGTTCAAACGAACCTTAATGCTCTTAAATGTAACATATAAAATGATATTTTAAATAATAGCAAGAGAGTTTTCTGTACCATGTAACGTAATAAAACCACTTGGATGATTATAAAAAATGTACCCAACTATTTTTCTCTGCACTGAAACTCTTTGTGTTTAAAGAAAACTGATGGAAGCAATCAAATAAAATATAAAAATCTCCACCATAGCTAAGCAGCCTTCCTCCTTTGTGAAGCCTTTGTGCTCTCGTTCATTCATGTGCTAATGTTCGTCTGGCTACTGCTGCTCGATGTGTTGATATGTAAAGCTTTACATCGGCGGGACATTGAACAGCTCCGGGGGTAAATTGAAAGACATGACCATGAAAGGAAGCATAAAAACGACGTCCACATTTAAAAACACACCGTTACCTGCCATCAGCCACAATTTAACTTCAAATATGCACTGGCGTCAAAAAAAAAATATGAGTGAGTCACATTTTCACAATTCTTCAAGGATTTGATTTTAACAGGTTGTTTAACGAAGAATGGCTTTTGATTTTGGGTCATATTGTACTTGGTAGAAGACCTTTAAGAGTTATTATATGACATAAATACAGAATGCATTGTTCCATTATGTTTATCCAGCAGAAATACAGTGAGCTATACAAGTGGATGTCTGCGCACCTCTCAAATGTGGATGAATAAACGTGCGTAAAACCAAATGTGGATGATTTGCAGATTGTGAGGTGTCGTAAAAAGTTAAAATATGCTGTCAAATATTCAGAAGACACAGATGATAACACTTAGTATGGCCTTTAATCAAACTAAATCCTCCATATGCTGATTAATTTTATCAAAATAATTGCTAGAAATGTATTATTTTCTGCCTGGAAAAGCCCAAAATGAAGGGCTTTGTACTTAAAAACCTCACCTAATGATGGCACACGTATATAAGTTGATAGAAATATCAAAAAGGGGTTTTAAAAAAATCATTAAATTGGCAATTTATAAAGGACTTACATTGCCACCGTTCTTCATCGAGGCCTTAAGGGACTGAGCGGCATCCTGGAGGAACATAAACGAATACAAAAAATCAGTTTCATGGCTGCACCGCTGAGTCATGAACATAAATCTACTTTGATTGTAAAAAGATTTTTTTTTTTTAATTATTTTAGCGGTGGTGACGTGAAGTCATGTGACCGTGCTGTAGTTCGTTTATAGCCCAACATTAGCCGCCTTTAGCTTAGCGGTGGTGACGTGAAGTCATGTGACCGTGCTGTAGTTCGTTTATAGCCCAACATTAGCCACCTTTAGCTTAGCGGTGGTGACGTGAAGTCATGTGGACCGTGCTGTAGTTCGTTTATAGCCCAACATTAGCCACCTTTAGCTTAGCGGTGGTGACGTGAAGTCATGTGACCGTGCTGTAGTTCGTTTATAGCCCAACATTAGCCACCTTTAGCTTAGCGGTGGTGACGTGAAGTCATGTGACCGTGCTGTAGTTCGTTTATAGCCCAACATTAGCCACCTTTAGCTTAGCGGTGGTGACGTGAAGTCATGTGACCGTGCTGTAGTTCCTTTATAGCCCAACATTAGCCACCTTTAGCTTAGCGGTGGTGACGTGAAGTCATGTGACCGTGCTGTAGTTCGTTTATAGCCCAACATTAGCCGCCTTTAGCTTAGCGGTGGTGACGTGAAGTCATGTGACCGTGCTGTAGTTCCTTTATAGCCCAACATTAGCCACCTTTAGCTTAGCGGTGGTGACGTGAAGTCATGTGACCGTGCTGTAGTTCCTTTATAGCCCAACATTAGCCTCCTTTAGCTTAGCGGTGGTGACGTGAAGTCATGTGACCGTGCTGTAGTTCGTTTATAGCCCAACATTAGCCGCCTTTAGCTTAGCGGTGGTGACGTGAAGTCATGTGACCGTGCTGTAGTTCGTTTATAGCCCAACATTAGCCGCCTTTAGCTTAGCGGTGGTGACGTGAAGTCATGTGACCGTGCTGTAGTTCCTTTATAGCCCAACATTAGCCACCTTTAGCTTAGCGGTGGAGACGTGAAGTCATGTGACCGTGCTGTAGTTCCTTTATAGCCCAACATTAGCCTCCTTTAGCTTAGCGGTGGTGACGTGAAGTCATGTGACCGTGCTGTAGTTATACTATTATTTTCAATTTTACAATATTTTGCCTTGTTTTTTTGTAAGGTATTATAGTGTTCTTAAAATAGTTCGCCATCTGTGTTTTACTTTTATGTACGCACCATGACACCAAGTCAAATTCCTCGTACGTGTCAACCTACCTGGTAATAATATAAACAACGTTTATATGTGATATCTTGCAACAGTTACTTTATCTTAAAAACATTTTGTACTGTTCATTTTTTATTAAATTTTGTCTTAATTTTGTACCTCGTGTGAATCCTCTGTTTAAACCTCTAAACGCCTGCATTTCCCCAAGGGGATAATAAAGTTCCATCTCATCTCATCTCACCTTGTTGGATTGCATCCTCATGTCGGAGGCCTGGTGCCGGGCGTTGTTAACGGCGTCGGGTTTGTCTCTCCTCCCCAGAGCCTGAGGAGCAAACTGACCCGAGGTCATGTGGGACGGACCCCGCTCATTCTGAGGGAAAACAGAGGAAGGGTCAGCAAATATATACCTTTAGGATCGTTGAGTGCGTTAGCGATGATAAGATAAGACTTTATTTATCCCGAAAGATATTGTTGTGCCAAAAATACAATAAACACAGCAGCATAATAAAACTGTACACAAACAGTGGATCAAAAAGAGCTATTAAATAACCACAAGAAACATGGTGACAGCTACATGGGAAGAATGGGAGTCATGTCATTCAACCAAACAGCGCTCTCCGACTCACACTTCCCATTCAGGTTTGAAATCTGCCCGTTTTATGTTGGAGAATGGAGATTATGGGAGGATTGAAGGCGCAACTGGTTGGAATGACTGGGACAGACGGGCGTGCAGCAAGGCGTTACAACCGCAACTACAAAATAATCTGTTGCTGATGATCAAAGTAATGGCGCATTTCCACTGCAGCGCGTAGCACGGTTTAAGCGCGCCGTGCCAAACCCGGCCCGTTTTCTGTTGCGTTTCCACTAGGGGTAGTTCCGGCTAACGGGTACTTTTTCACAGTTTTTCTGGCTCTCCAAATCCAGGTTCTTTCCGGGCCAACAACCAGGGCTGAGTCGGGCTGAGTTTGCTAAACTAGAGAGAGAATCGCTGGCAAGGGGGCTACAACTACAACAAGATGGACATATTTGACCGTGATTTAATTGTAATACACGTTTCAAAATGATGCCGAAGTAACAACATACTGATACCGGTTAGTAAAAACCATGAATTAATGCTTTGTCAAGTCTGCAGACAGACGGCAGGGGAAAAACCTTTTAAAATGCGTGTTTTCTGAATGGAGATCGGCTAAGCTCACGCAGTATATGCTCCGACCGTCCACACTCACAACAACGGCCTATACAGACATAAATAAAGCAGCGACTGTATTCTCCATGACACAGGCAGTCTGTGGTTTGTACTTGTTTAACTTTTGTCTTGTTTCTGAACAGATATGAGGAGCTGTGAGCTCTGAGGGCTAACAGCTAACGGCTGTGTTGTTTTTGTGGTTCGCATTGAAGATGACGTCACGGCTCCGCCTACACTGCGTTACTATAGTGACTGCCCCAGCTAAAGTGAGCCTGGCCTACCAAGGCCTAACTATACCGTACTAAGCCGTGGTAGGCCCTGCAGTGGAAATGCGGCATAAGTGAGCTTGATACATCTGGTAGATGTGTAACTACTGTTTAAAACAACTTTAAACATGCTTGAATGACTATGTCCATTACTACTGGAGTTTCTGTTCGAGATGCTCCCTTTTATAAACTCAAGGTTAATCAGGTAAGTAATACCAGCTTCATCATCATCGCTTTACTCACCTTCATCCTCTTCTTCTTCTCTTTCATTCTTCTCTTGAAGCCTTCCTAAAAAGACGAAAGTGTGAATCACAGAAAGCAATTAATAAAAGGTTACAATAGAAACATATACACTACTGCTGTGGTGTATCATGTGATGTATGTATGTCTTTTAGTGTTGTATTCTTTATTAACCTCAGTTTTAGTATTTATAACCTGCAAAATAGTTTTCCAGTTCTTTATTTTGAGAGATATAATCCAAAAGACATGTCGTAATAACACAGGAAGCCTTACTGGAACTTTAAATACTCGTAAGTATGCAGCATTCTGAGAGATCTTGTTTCAACAGTTACTTTAAAAACATTTTTAAATTATTATTATAGTTCAGGAACTATGATACAAAGGTGTGTTACTATGCTAAAAACAAGGGGATATAGGCCTATCAGAAGAGTCGTGATACAGCCTTAAACTCCAATATATTTAGCTTATCAATTATTGTATGTTTTCTGAGCTTGGTGTTTAATGCTCGCTGTGAAAAGCTGCAGAAATCTTACGTCGTCCTCTTTGCGTTTCTTGAAGATATTGTCCTCTGCGACGCCGACCGCCTGCATGATCAACTCCACTCGCTCCAGATCCACATAGCCGTTGTGTGTAACGTATCCCTACACACACACACACACACACACACACAGGTTAGTACCAGAGGGCAAAAGTACACACATCCTTCACTCAAGTAGAAGTACAGATACTCGTGTTTAAAAATACTCTGGTGAAAGTAGAAGTACTGACTAAACTTCTTTACTCAAGTCAAAGTAAAGAGGCTTTGAAATGTACTTCAGTAAAAAGTACCCATAGCTAGCAGCTGTTTTAAAGAGTACCTGACCTCCCTTTATATTAATAGAACAATAATGTCATTGTTAGCTAATGAATGTTTCCATGCTGAACAACGGCAACATGACAACGTTTTCATTGGTCCCTCTTCTTTAGAGAAGACCAGGAAATGATGGATACACGGATCGTGTTCAAATCAATAGGCACGCAATGACTCTAAATAATAATGATCACGCCACCAAACACACATTCAAACTAAAGGAACCAGCCTGTTTGGGAAATGTAAGAAGTAGAAAGTACAGGTATTTGGGTTCAACATGTAAGAAGTAGAAAGTACAGGTATTTGTGTTCAACATGTAAGAAGTAGAAAGTACAGGTATTTGTGTTCAACATGTAAGAAGTAGAAAGTACAGGTATTTGTGTTCAACATGTAAGAAGTAGAAAGTACAGGTATTTGTGTTCAACATGTAAGAAGTAGAAAGTACAGGTATTTGTGTTCAACATGTAAGAAGTAGAAAGTACAGGTATTTGTGTTCAAAATGTAAGAAGTAGAAAGTGCAGGTATTTGTGTTCAACATGTGAGAAGTAGAAAGTACAGGTATTTGTGTTCAACATGTAAGAAGTAGAAAGTACAGGTATTTGGGTTCAAAATGTGAGAAGTAGAAAGTTCAGGTATTTGTGTTCAAAATTTAAAGTAAAAAGTCGTCAGAAAAATAAGTAGTGGAGTAAAGTACTGATGCCAGAAAAAAGTACTTAAGTACAGTAACGAAGTATTTGTACTCCACTACCTCCCACCTCTCATTAGTACAAGAGCTTCTTTAAAAGATAAATCACCCACAACAGGAAACACTTAAGACACAAACAGGTGATAATACTCACTCCAGTTTTGTGCACAACGTCTTTGTAGATGGTGACGAGCCGATCGATCGCTCCCTCTCTGTGAGACACAAAAACATCTCCGGTTAAAATGACAGACGAGTTATTAAGTGTAACATTTAAATTGCGATATTTAGCTAAAAACCAAAGGACTGCAGGATTTGGAAAGAAATGCTAATTGACATCATTTTTGAGTGATATTGCAATTAAGATACGATGCACAAAAATGCTTCATAACTCTCCTTTTAGATGACAATAGTATTACAATGATCATGGTGTGATTCTTTTAAGAGGATCTGTAGCAAACAAACAAATATTTTGTCGGAACAACTCTGAAAAAACTAAACGGTTATTTTTTTACATTTATTGTGCCTTTAACAAATATTGCGCTAACTGCTATTGTGGACATTGTCTTAGAGCTCACCTGATCTCTAAGGACGGCAGGCATTAAGTGTACATTTTAAAGGGGACCAATCATGCAAAATGCACTTGTGTACGTCTTTTCTACATGAATATGTGTCCCCGGTGTTCCAGGGAACTCACCAAGTGTCAGAAAACACAACCCTCTCTATTTTTCTCCATACCCAAATCTCTAAAAAAGGGGCTGCAACGGATCTGATAAAAACTGATCCAGATTTGAACACTGTCCTGACGTCAGGACGGTGGCGCTACGGCTATTGGGCCAACTCCACCAATCAGGAGGAGACAGCCACGGCCATTGCTGTTCTAAAGCACTGGAGACGTTGTAGTACATATGCCAGGCCTGTAGATGGTGCTGTTCTCACTGAATCAGCCCTTGCTAAAACAGATCTAAAAAATGTCAAATTGAGCAAAATGAGGCATGGCTAAAATGCATGATCTGTTTGGTATTTTGAAAAGTATAAATATGCCTTATATAGGTATGGTCCTACACTATATTATTCAAATATAGCATGATAGGTCCACTTTAAATTGGGATATTTAGCTCAAACCAAATAGGACTACACGGTTTGGAAAAAGTGCAAATTGACATCATTTTGACTGATATTGCAGATGCGATATGATACACATAATTGAAGGGAATGGTCGTTTTTGCATCATAACTCTCCTTTTAGTGGACAATTGTACTAAAAGGATCATGGTGGGATTCTTTTAAGAGGATCAGTCTCTTGAATACAACTTTTCAGAACTCTGCAGCACCGAAAACTTAATAAAGAAACGGCACTTTAACATATATATTGTGCATTTAGACAAACATAGGTTTTACTGCGATTTTGGACATCGCCCTGGAGCTCACCTGATCTCTAAGGACGGCAGGTGAGGCAGGAAGTCGTTTCCCACGAAGAAACACATGAAGACCCAGTCGTCTATGCTCCTCTCGAAGTCGAAGGGAAACGGCAGACTGGCCATCGTCAGCTCCCGAGCCAAATACTGAAAACATGGAGGAAGAATTAAAACAGTTATCTGTACGGTGCTTCTCTCTCTAAAGACCAATGTTCGCTCTTATACCCAGTCTAGTTACCGTATTTAAATGTACATTATTTCATATTCTGTTCTTGTACACATCATATTCTATTGACATGTATATAGACTTCTTCCACTATTTTTTATTTGCATTTTATTATATATGTTGCGTTGTTGGAGGAGCTCAGGTCAGAAGAATTTCATTGCCATTTCTACACTGTAGCTTACATGACAATAAAACCTTTGAATCTGAATCTTTAGTTCAAACACAACCGACCGGAGGAGGGCTGGTATTTTAAATAACTTGTAAAAAACACACATGTGATTTTACATTTCATTACTTTCCGTTTGTTCTACTCTCTGTGGACCTTTAAGACCCTTTCCATACATTTTAAGACCTCATCTCCACTTGGAGTTCTAACCGGTTACCTTGGCGACACACTTTACCTCACATTGACTATATACAGTATTGATCGTCCTTCCTCCTTATCTTCCAACCATTTGGACGCAGACTTGCATTTCCCCGTAACGATGTTGTTTAACAACCGGCGTAAACGGAGCTTCGCGCGCTATCAAGCAGTGAGCGTGCGATGTCCTGTTCAGATGACGTCAAATCCAACGGGATGCCATAAATAAACTCCACAGAATCACACTACACACCTACGCAATGATTACATTCAGGCAGACTGTAGAATACAACCTCTTTGGACCATTTATATACTTATTGAAAACTAGCTACAAAATGTAATACCTTGGAAAATGCCCTTTAACCTGTTCCACTCTGAGCCTGTTTTTCAGGTCTCAGGCTCGAAAATGACATTCCCAGAACAAATGACCATATCTTCCCTTCTAAAAGGGTTAAATTAATAATCTTTTTTCTCAAAGTAATGATAAACCTGTGAGTTGGATGTAGAAGTGTCAGAATCAATATAAATGTTTTTTATTTTAAAGAAAATTCAGATTTTACATAGTAAAAAACTGTAAATTATAGTGTCCGTCCAAAAATTATTTTTTACAGATAGTGAAAACTACCCTTGGATGATGGGTTAGTAGACTAAAAGCTTTAGGAATCCAAAGTACAACATATAATAAGTACCCTGTATCAAGATTGATGCAAAACAAGTGAAATTTGACCTTTTTAAGGAGATTTAGCCAAAAACTGGGCCATCTGGGGTCATTTGGGTGGATTTGACCTATCTCTGGCCCCCCTTGCTCGATCTGGTTGGTTGACATACCCTTGTGACCGTTAGAGCCAATAGAATCGAAGGAGGAGACTCACATAGACACACATTGTAAAGAAAAAATGTTGCCGCTTCGCGTGTGGAAAGCGAAACTAAACTGGAGGAATGTCTCCTTCTGGAGTTTGGAAACTAAAACGCAGTTGTATTGCTTATGGATTATCAGAAATAATTTCAAAGAAGGCACAGACACATAGGATGAACCTATGGATTAACTGCAGCATCGTTTTTTTATCGTTTTAATGCCATTGAAGACCACTTTTGACCAAGGTAAGCCATATTTACGTGTTTAGCTTCTTAGCTCCACATGTGATGATGTACGCTTTCGTTGATAGCGTCGCGAATGTTTATCACTGAGTGTTGAGGTGGGCACCGGTAGATTCAGTGTCTCCAGGACACCAAAAAAGAGTGTTTGGTTGTGCATCTAGGATAAGTAATAAGGGAGTTCTGAGTGAGTTTATGTGCCTTTGTAGGTTACGTTTTTTCGTCGAGGCTAATTCAGAGGCTGAGTGCTAGCATTGTGGGGTTTTCTTGATTTTTTTTTTTAAAAAGATCAGTTAGCTGAGTTTCTTCCCGTTACATGGATATAACACATTCATAGTTTTATTCAATATTAAGATTCCTTAGACGTTGTTTCCTGCAAATGACGCGTTTATCCGCCCGGTACCGGGGGGAAGGCGTGAAACAGGTTAATACTTTTTAATAGCCTTCATTTTCGCTAAATTTATTTATCAACTTTTAATACTTTTTAAGACCCCGCGGACACCCTACCCTGTACATGGACCTTCATGACAATCCCACATTCACAGAAGGAAGCCATTACATTATTTATTTCCCAAAAGGAGATAAAGTCTTACCTCTCGCAGCACACAGAGTCTGATGAATATGAACTCCTGCTCAGACCCCGGCATCGAGCCGGCAAATTCATCGTGCTGAAAGAGAGGGAAACACAACGGATCAAATATCATTCGTGGAAAGATGGCAGCATCTTAAAGGTCACCTATTATGCAACATCCACTTCTTCATGTCTCTTTTTCATCAGCATGTGTCCCCTCTGTGGAAAAAAGATTCTCTCTTTTTGTCCTGATCCATTTCTATAAAAACCTGTCTGAAAATGAGCTGATCAGATTTTGCCCACTTTATGATGTCATAACGATGTTTTGTCTTGTGCTTAGCCAATCAGCAACCAAGGTAACCCCCCCCCCCCCCCCTTATCACTTGAATCTCCTCCTAGAGCACGATTGTGTTCTTTTTAACCAATCATCTCTCAGAGGGGCGTGGCCAGCAGCAGCTCATTAGCATTTAAAGCTACAGACACAGAATCAGCACTTTTGAAACAGGGCTGAAACAGAGGGGATTATGGGTAATGCTGCAATGATCTGTTTGGTGTTTCAGCCAATCAGAGACAGGTTCTGTATATATCTGAGACCTGTGATATATTGATGAAGAACAGTATAATAGGGGGACCGTTAAGAACCCTTCTTGCCACAGTGATGACCGAATATCTCATCCATGTGAAACAAGGATGAGTGTTCTCCTGGACTCACCTCTCCCTGCTTCTCTCGAGCCAGGCCCTGGCAGTCTTTGAGTTCGTGTCCGACCTGGTTGCAGAGGGCGCAGGGTCTCGGTTTGTTGGGTTTGAACTCCTCTCTAATGATGGTGAAGTTCGGCTCGTGGGTGGCCAGGCCCAGCATGATCAGATCAGCTGAACATCAACACATTAGGAGGAGAGAAGGGTTAATAATGAAGACATACTGACTTAGAAACTAGTCAAAAAACAATACATCAAGGTCACTTCAGACTGGAACATGAATTACTTTTATATAATCTTATTTATTTCACATTTAGGAGCATGATATAAAGTCTTACCGTCAGCTCCACACAGGCAGTGGTGTGTGTTTGGGTCGTGGTTGGGTTGAGCTGCAAAATAAATTCACAAAGTCAATATAATGTGTGTCAGCTTGTGTTTGTAGAGTATTTGTTTTAGTCTCAGATCAAAGTCTTAACATGCACAAGTTAATTTTCTTCCACAGTATTTCAAGTGTGAGAAAAGCTAGAATTAATGCACAATATTGACTTTTCTCGTGTGTATTCACGTTTATGTTATGAACGTTTGAAGCACTTGTAAGGCTAGTTTTGTTTTGTATGTTGCTGTTGACTGTAGGATGTGTTGTTTTGTTTCTGCTCTCCTTCGCACTGTACCTCTCTGTCTCCGGATGTAGTCCATGATCTTATGTTCACCTTCACCGGGAACACTGGCATCAGACAGAATCACCTGGATAAATACAAAGTGAATAAAGGTTATATACATGAACACTTTTCACGTCAACAACCAGCGCATTACATTAAAACACAAACAAAGTTCAAAAGGCAAGTTCTGTTGTATTAATGGGGTACAAAATATAAGGCTATAATCAGGGACGCGGGAAGTCAGTCAGAGTTCGGGGTGCGGGGGGGGGGCTAGTAGCGTTTCCTAGCGGTGAAACTGTGGCGCTCTGGGGGGTGGGTGCTAGTGGAGCCTCGCAGCGGAGAAACTGTGACGCTCTGGGGGGGGGGGGGGGGGTGCTAGTGGAGCCTCGCAGCAGTGAAACTGTGACGCTCTGGGGGGGGGGGGGGGTGCTAGTGGAGCCTCGCAGCGGAGAAACTGTGACGCTCTGGGGGGGGGGGGGCGGGTGCTAGTGGAGCCTCGCAGCGGAGAAACTGTGACGCTCTGGGGGGGGGGGGGGGGCTGCTAGTGGAGCCTCGCAGCGGAGAAACTGTGGCACTCTGGGGGGGGGGGTGCTAGTGGAGCCTCGCAGCGGAGAAACTGTGACGCTCTGGGGGGGGTGCTAGTGGAGCCTCGCAGCGGTGAAACTGTGGCGCTCTGGGGGGGTGGGTGCTAGTGGAGCCTCGCAGCGGAGAAACTGTGGCGCTCTGGGGGGTGGGTGCTAGTGGAGCCTCGCAGCGGAGAAACTGTGGCGCTCTGGGGGGGGGGTGCTAGTGGAGCCTCGCAGCGGAGAAACTGTGGCACTCTGGGGGGGGGGGGCTAGTGGAGCCTTGCAGCGGAGAAACTGTGACGCTCTGGGGGGGGGGTGCTAGTGGAGCCTCGCAGCGGTGAAACTGTGGCACTCTGGGGGGGGGGGGTGCTAGTGGAGCCTCGCAGCGGTGAAACTGTGGCACTCTGGGGGGGTGCTAGTGGAGCCTCGCAGCGGAGAAACTGTGGCGCTCTGGGGGGGGGGTGCTAGTGGAGCCTCGCAGCGGAGAAACTGTGACGCCCTGGGGGGGGGGTGGTGCTAGTGGAGCCTCGCAGCGGAGAAACTGTTTGGCACTCTGGGGGGGGGGGTGCTAGTGGAGCCTCGCAGCGGTGAAACTGTGACACTCTGGGGGGGGGGGGGGTGCTAGTGGAGCCTCGCAGCGGAGAAACCGTGACGCGCTGGGGGGGGGTGCTAGTGGAGCCTCGCAGATGGGGGGTGCTGCAGCCCCCTCAGCCCCCCCCCTTCCCGCGTGCATGGTTATAATAAATGCAATGAATGTAATGATATTAAAAAGTATGAAGTTGTATTGCATGATTCTACCATGACAGTATTATTGCCATGTCAATAGAAAGGTTGATGAAAAAAATATATGGCTATCAGTGAAACTATTCTTTAACATTGTGTGTCATGTCTTGTTTTTGGCGACCAACTACACTTCAAATACGTGGTAGAGTATGTAACACAACACGTCATCACAGTGACCGACAATACCAGCATTATGCTCCGAAGTGTTTAGTCTGTATGTTAAAGTCCGAGCAGTGAAGTTACCGTGACGTTCTTCCAGCCCGGATCATTGCTGATTCTCTCTGCCACGTAATATCTGAGACACTGAGCCAAGTTATCCATGAACTCTGTTCCCTGGAGACAAAACAAGATCAAATCTGTTATTCTGATGATACAAAGAATACACACAACACTTGGAAAATCAGGCTCGTCCTCGTCCTCCGTGAGTTTCTTTCCCAATTTGGCATCATTACAAACAGAGAATAAACAGATAGTGTAGTTAGTTTGAGAGACGAGAACAAGAAGCCACTTACTGGAGTGATGCAGTTGCTGTCAAATCTCTCTTTAATCTCGTCAGGTGGAAGATAACCTCCTGTAGAGGAAATAAAACAACAAGTTAGTTTACACGGAGCATTAAGTGATATTGGAAAAGTAGGATAAACGTACAAAAACCCAGAAAAGCATAGAATAATTAGACTGTAAACTGTAGGGAGGATTCATTCATATATCCAGAGTTGTTTGATTGAATCATCTCGTGGTTTTTTAAGTTGCTCGCCGATATAGAGTAGTGTCTTCCCACAGATGTGAAGTAGAACAACACTTTAGATTAAATGTTTTAAATTGTATCATCCAAAGTGAAAGATTAGTACACCTGCTGTGTTTTAAAAATCTGGATTTGCTCAAAAAACACAGAAATTACCAAATATTCGCACATTTTTTCCCTCATCTCATTTGCCCTAAACAATCAGTATTTCCTGTCCTTGAGCTCAGATCAAAATGTCTTGCCGTGTTCAGTTTCATCAGAGCTATTTATGGCGTTTAAGCGTGCCGTGCCCGGCCCGTTTTTGGTTGCGTTTCCACTAGGCGTAGTTCCGGCTAACGGGTACTTTCACAGTTTTTCCTGGCTCTCAAAAATCGAGGTTCTTTCCGGGCCAACAACCGGGCTGAGTATGCTAAACTAGTGATGGAATCGCTGGCAACTACAACAAGATGAATATATTTGACCGTGATTTAATTGTAATACACGTTTCAAAATGATGCCGAAGTAACAACATACTGATACCGGTTAGTAAAAACCATGAATTAATGCTTTGTCAAGTCTGCAGACAGACGGCAGGCGAGAAACCTTTTAAAATGCGTGTTTTCTGAATGGAGATCGGCTAAGCTAACGCAGTATATGCTCCGACCGTCCACACTCACAACAACGGCCTACAGACATAAATAAAGCAGCGACTGTACTCACCATGACACAGGCAGTCTGTGGTTTGTACTTGTTTCACTTTTGTCTAGTTTTTGAACATATATGAGGAGCTGTGAGCTCTGAGTGCTAACAGCTAATGTTGGTTCTGTGGTTCGCATTGTTGACAGATCTGCTGTTTAAGTGGCCGTGTCAGACCTGACCTTTACCTCACCTGCCTCTATTAAGCTTACCATTGATAAAAAGATGCTACGTTTTATTTTTAAACCTTACATTTTTTAATGTTCAATAATTAAAAGTTGAACAGTTGTGACCTGCTTCTGACTGAAAGAGAGATTTGAAATTGAAAAGGGGAATAGAAACTCTGCTAAGGTTAAACTATAGTTTCATATTGGTTACTGTGGTTGATGTGGTTTTGATTGATGTTGAAATATGACACATGCTCTGCTGATGTGGTGATATCACTGCTCTGACATTAATGTTTGACTCTGGCTGTGTTTGATATTACATTTGAATTGTTTTGATTGATATATTTGGGGATCAAGAGAGGGTGGGGTTAGGGATTGTGGGTTCTGAAGCTGCCCTAATTACCAGGGGGTCTCCCAATAACACAGGGTTTCCCCTCCAGGGGCAGTTTAGATACTGCTCTGGGGTTCTACCAGCCCACCAACACCTACTACACTACACACTCTGTTCTGCTATCCTAGCGGTCGGACATCCGTGGCTGGAGTGCCTAAACTAGGGATACGACGGGCAGCGTGGTGTTAGAGGCCACGCTGTAAACACCCCCCTAAACAGATTACGGTGATCTTGCGTGTAGATTCTGGGGGGTTTAGTCCTAAAAAGATTGGGCGGCCGTTCACCGGAGCCTTATCAGCACCGGAGTTTAGTATCGGAGACGGCCTAGATATTAACGTTAGTTTTATCGAAGTTAGATTCCTTTTCAGCATTGAAGATGACGGCTCCGCCTACACTGCATTACTATAGTTACTGCCCCAGTTCCTAAACTGTAATGGAAACGCAGCATAAAGTGAGCCTGGCCTACCAAGGCCTAACTATACCGTACTAAGCCATGCGAGGCCCTGCAGTGGAAATGCGCCATAAGTCAACATCCACTCTTTGTATCTGCAGGCATTCAAACATCACACACACCTTTCCCGATGACCTCCTCTCGGATGCGAGTCTTCTCGTCCACCAGCTCTGCTCCTTCTTTGGAGGCTCGGAAACGCCGAGAGCGCTGCTGGTTCATCTTGGCACGTGGAGCCTGGTGGTGTAGAACAAAGGATTAGACATATCAGCTTTTATTAACCCAGATGACATTAAAGAGGTTGTTATTTTTCTTCTTTACCTGCTTGTAAAGCGCTTTATAAATAACATGTATTATTATCAATAGAGATGTGCCGATCCGATCACGTGATCGGGGATCGGAGCCGATCACGTGATTTTCAAATGATCGGAATCGGGAGAAAAAGATCGGGAATTTTTTATATATAAAATATATTTTTTTTATTTAATGTTACAAAACAAAAATGACCATCTTCACGTCTTAAAGTCATCCTGAGGTTTAAAATGACACATCATGTATGTGTTGCTTCTTTTGGGCTTGTTTTCATAGACCTGGTTGCTTATTTCTCTCAAATCTGGCAACAGAGTGGGCGCAGTGTCTAATAGTAGCAGTAAGCTAACAAGAGGCTACGTTCAGCTGGTGCCTCGGGAGTCGGGACAGAGAAAATGTCAGGAGTTTGGAAGTATTATAAAATTGAAAGCGAAGGCAGTGTAACAGCCAGATGCAATGTTTGCAAGGCGGAGGTTCCGCGTGGTGGAAAGAACAGAGCTACGTTCAACACGACCAATCTAATACAAACACCACGAGTACACAGCGGCCACTCAGGTAACGGCACTGAAACAACCAACACTTTCAGAGACTTTTAAAAGGAAAGAGAAACTGCCCCAGAACAGTGAAAAGGCCAAAAAAATAACAGCCAAGATAGCTGAATTCATCGCGTTGGATGACCAGCCGTTATCTGTGGTGGAGAACGTGGGGTTTAAGGGACAACTTGAATGCTTTTCGCCTTTTTTTTCTTCTTAATGCATTGCATAAAGATCGGATCGGGAAAAATCGGTATCGGCAGATTGTCAAAATCAAATGATCGGAATCGGATCGGGAGCAAAGAAAGGTGATCGGGACATCCCTAATTATCAATATGCTCTGTTTCTCTGTCTCGATTAGTGTTCACTGATTCTGTATTCTCTCACATTGCACTGTTTATAACTCTTATAAATGTTTGGTTCTCTGGCAGGTGTTTCCTTATTTTAGCCACATTTTTCTGTGGATGCAGGTTTTTAAACATTGAAAGTAACTTACCACTCCATCGATGGCCATGTAGAGAACTCTCCTGGGCCGCACGATATTGAACAGGCGGTCGATGTACTCAAAAATGGCGACCATCATCTCGTCTTCATTTTTTGGAGCAGCTCTGTGGACAGCAGAGGGCAGAATGTGAATAATGGGCACAGTTTTAACCCCCTAAAAATAAACAAATACAATTTTAAAACTCCCTGTCTGCATAAAGGAAAACAGACTCTTGTTTTATAATAACTTAAAACATTCAATAAATAGGACGCAATCCCATTGGAAAACACTCAAATGTATAACTTTTAAACCCTTTTATTAAAACGATACATCCAGGTTTGATTATAAAAACCAAATACTTCATTTTTGGTGATATTTAACTTCTTTAAATCACTCGCAATGCAATCTAGGGATTCAGCCACTTGTGATTTAAAGGTCTATTAATGTAATGATGATTATACAGAAGTTATTTTGAAGAATACTAATCAGTTGGCATTAGGGCTGCACGCTATATCGTGTTGTGACGATAATCGTGATATGCGCGATAGTCAAATCGCAGGGAGTGCGATTTTTTTTTTTTTAGGACGTGCGATATTAAGTAGGCAAATTAACTCAAACACGTCATGTTACAATTATTTTGCTGCTTGCTACAAAAGGGAAAACTTGCGCGGCTCTCATGTCAGGGGTACTTGAGTGAGTGACAGCAAACCACCAATCACAATCAAATCTCCAAAGCAAACGGAGCCGGAGATTAAAGGTAAAAACACTGAATAAAGTGTTTCTCCAGGGCAGTTCGGCGCTGCTAACCGAGCTAGCTCAGCTTGTTGTTCTGATAACTTAAGATCCAGACGTCCGTGACTAAAATCCTTCATCCGGTTAAATATAGTTCGAAAAATACCAATTGTATAGCATGAAACTTCAAGAAAGGATGGTTTGGGACAAAAAACGGTCTTTTCTTCAATTCCTGTATTTTTTCATATCGCAGGGGGAAAAAATATCGCAATGTCAGTTTTTTCCAATATCGTGCAGCCCTAGTTGGCATATGTTTGAACCATCAGAGAAGTCTGGATTCATGGGAAGAGTCACAGTTACAAATCCCTCTGCTACTTCAGCACCACGGACAGAGACACTAATACATAGATATTATTACACAGCAGTTAATCCACTGAAACAGAGACTAGCGTTACGTTTGAAGTCAACTTGCTAAAAGTTATTGGTACATTAAAACAGATAATGTATCGAGTGTTTCATACTTGTCCTCTGGATGTGTGCAGGGGTGAATGATCCCATTCATGTCCAAGTACAAATTGTCAAATTCTACCTCGTTGGGGTTAGGCTTCGTCGTATCAACAGGAATGCAGACGCCATTACATTCTTTCCCCTGTGAAGACAAAGAGCACAATTAAGCTTTCGTGAAGAAAACACAAAAGCTAGACAACATTTCAATGCTTTGAGTATAAGATGTTGCATTGTATTTCAGCTCAAAGTAGAGGTGGTTAAGGTGAGGTAAGTTTGAAAGCCGAAGTCATTGGGTCACATGACATGGAAGCTGATAAAAAGCTATGAGAATTTCTCCCCCCAAAAATGCAGATCTTTCATGAAGAATATATTTTTTTTTGTAGCACTAAAATCCAAATTAAAGTGGTGTGTCCTACTTGTCTGATGGGCTATTACAATGCTACATTGATTTCAAGTCACTGGGTAATATGACATAGAAGATATTGTGAAACATCGAGACTTATCGATAAAGAAACTGCTGAATTTACTCTTAATTTCAAGCTATTGTACACATGTTATAATACACAGATAGATAGATACTTTATTGATCCCAAATGGGGTGTACAGGGATTCAAATCTTTAAAAAGGTGGGAAAAAACAAGGATTCTATCAATTCTGTATATTGTATAATGCCTAGTTCCTCATCTGAATATAGGTCTTCTCTACTGAGAATATGTATATAGTGTTTTGTAATTGTTGTTATATATATTCAAAACAGAAAATGGCGGACAATCTCCCTGTTGACTAGAGAGGATGAAACGAAAGACTAATTTCCATTCATTTAAAACAAGTTATAACGTGTAGGTTTTTTGTTGGTACTCCAGAGATGAAAATACGATCTTCTTCTCCCTGCTCCTTTCCACATGGACCAATACAGTTTTATAATAATTGCCATGGAGTGGAACAAACTAATAAATAAGCACGCAGTTTTGTTTACAATCTCACGAATTAAACCACAAACATCCGGGTCTCTGTGGCGTCGGTGACGAACACAAACATTAAAAACACAACAAAAATGAACTTTTAACGCAGCATTAATAGTAGAAAAAACACATATCAGCTTGTGATATGAATAAAATGCATTTATAAACGGTAAAAATAGTTAAAATGTTCCCGCCAACGTGAATGCGACATGTACCCGAGCAGATGCTAACATGCTAACATGCTATCCCTTACCTTCTCCTCAACACAATGCACAACGATTGAAGGATATTTTCGGCTAAGCCAACGGAAAAACGCCGGGACTCCCATCTTCGGTGAGCAGTGGCTTCTCTCTCAGCGTATAAAAAAAGTGTGAAATGGTAAAGAAAGAGTTAAAATAGCTTAAGTTAAAACACGAGTTGTTTGGATGAAATCAACTCTTCGGCTACATGCTGTTGGGCCGTTAAGAACTGTTTCCGGTTCACTCGGCTTTTACCGGTGCGCCTCGTAGATCCGAGTGTACCCACAGCGCCCCGAACGGTCACAAGCGGTACTGCAGTGGCAGAATCAGTGCGTAGTTCGATAAGATAAGATAAGAAGTACTTTATTGATCCCGATTTGACAAATGTTTGCGTTGCAGCAGCATAAAAAGACAAGGCATTGTACATTGGAGAAATTAAAATATATATCCAAAATGTAAACGTCTCAAATAGAAATAAAATAGCATTAAAAAAATATACATGTGGAAATACAAACACAGATTGTCTCGCTGTTCAATCTTTTTTTAAGGTTTTCTCAGTGATGAAAGAAGTATTATTATTTACTTAAGCAGACGTAATATCACACTGTATAAATAATGCGTTACAAGCTTAGTACCTGCATTGAAAATGTTATTTCAGACGCCGTCTCCCATTAACTTTATTTGCAAATGTTTTCCTTTAATGACTGATTTTAAATGCCATTTTCTTAATGTCTTCCATTTTTGTGAAGCACTTTTAATTGCCTTGTGTTGAAAGGTGCTATATAAATAAACTTGCCTTGCCTTGCCTTAAATTATGTTTATGTTTGCAACCATATTTGCATTGGGGACACTTGGGACATGTCCCCACATCTTTTTTGAAATGGCTAATTTTGTCCCCACCACATTTTAAAAGTATAACTTTCACAAAGAAATGTAATAAACAAGAATACTGGTTTAGTGTCAAGATGTGCAATGTTGACATGTTAGTACACTTCAGAAAATGTAAACAAATAAAATAATAACATTTCTCCCGTTTTGCAGCAGCAGGACGCAGATTATAAAAATCACTAAAAAAGGATTAAAGAATAAACTTTCAAGTCAACAATAACATATAATAAAATGCAAAGAAAATAAAGACTTATTTTCTTACTTACTGATTTTTTCTAAAAATTGTAAATAAATGGTCATAACTGTTGATTTCATTGAAAATACAGCTTTCAATTTAAATGCAACACTTAAAGTCACCGAGTGTGTGTGATAGTGTGTGTGATATAGTCATATAGTGTATGTGATATAGTGTGTGTGATGTAGTGTGTGTGATATAGTGTGTGTGACAGAGTGTGTGTGATGTAGTGTGTGTGATGTAGTGTGTGTGATATAGTGTGTGTGACTGAGTGTGTGTGATGTAGTGTGTGTGACAGAGTGTGTGTGATTTAGTGTGTGTGATGTAGTGTGTGTGATATAGTGTGTGTGACTGAGTGTGTGTGATATAGTGTGTGTGACTGAGTGTGTGTGATATAGTGTGTGTGACTGAGTGTGTGTGACAGAGTGTGATGTAGTGTGTGATGTAGTGTGTGTGACAGAGTGTGTGTGATTTAGTGTGTGTGATTTAGTGTGTGTGATGTAGTGTGTGTGACAGAGTGTGTGTGATGTAGTGTGTGTGACAGAGTGTGTGTGATGTAGTGTGTGTGATAGTGTGTGTGATATAGTGTGTGTGACTGAGTGTGTGTGATATAGTGTGTGTGACTGAGTGTGTGTGATATAGTGTGTGTGACTGAGTGTGTGTGACAGAGTGTGTGTGATGTAGTGTGTGTGATGTAGTGTGTGTGACAGAGTGTGTGTGATGTAGTGTGTGATGTAGTGTGTGATGTAGTGTGTGTGACAGAGTGTGATCTAGACTGTAATTGTTTTGTCCAGCCTGATGTGACATAATGTTTCTTTAATGGAGACTCTCTGCTCTGATGCCCTCTCGCTTCCCATCCTGCAGCTCCAGATTTGAGGTGAATTAGATGTTTTTCTCATACAGTTGGAGGGGGGGGGGGGGGGGGGGGGGGGGGGGGGACAGCCATTAGCCTCCCCTCTTCAGGCAGTCTGACACCAACACTGCAGTATCATTACTGCAAAGAGCTGCTGATGGAAAACACTTGGCCTGCTCCAACGGGCCATTTCCAAAAACATTTACGCTGCAGCTGCAGGTAAAAACCCACCGCAAAACTCTGTGTTTGTGCAGCGAGACGGAGGAGAGGAAGGGCGAGATGATGCAAATCCACCATGAGAGAGAAATAAATCTCACTCAGAGGCGGTGCAGCTCAGGAATGTGACATGAAAACACATTTTAACAGAAGATGCGTTCACTGAATTCATGTAAAAATGCATGCTTGGGTTATTTTTTGAAAGCTTTCTGCTGCAGATTAATGTTTTAAAAATATGTTTTTGTTAAAAAAGTGGAAATGAATTGTACTCAAAGCTTTTTTTCTCTCATAGCATGGCTAATTTTAAAAATCACTTGGCCTATCACAATGGGCCATTTCCATACACTTTTAGGCTGGAACTGCAGGTAATATTTAGAAAAACAGAGGAGATGAAGGAGGTTCAAGGTTCAAGGTTCAAGGTTCTTTATTGTCAATCTGACATAGCTACAGAGTAATTATGTAGTTGAAAATCTTATGTCACAGGCTTCTCCAACAATGCAACATAATAACATAATAACAATACAGATAGCAAGAAAACGGCAAAAGTAAAATAAATATGTACAAAATACGAAAATGGGCAAAGTTGGAGAGGAGCACAAAGACGATGCGGCCATCTTCACCGGCGCATCATAAGGTCTGAGGTGGCAAATCACACTTTTTTTGGGTGTTGCAGCTCAGTAATGTGTGATGAAAACACATTTTAACACACGATGCATTCACTGAATTCATGTCAAAATGCAGGCTTGGGTTATTTTTAAATGCCTTCTGCTGCAGACTACTCTTTCTAAAGATAGTTGAAATTGGTCAGAATCAGAAATCCTTAATTTATTATGTTTATTTACAGCATAACAGCAAAGGGACAGTGCAGATAAAAGACAGAATACAATAAGTAGTCTAACATTTTAGTTAAAGAGGCAAGCAAACAGTTAAAGGTAGGGTAGGTAATTCACTTCAGAAACACTTTTTGTTATATTCCATGGAATGCTCTTAATATCCCGATAGCAATGAATATATTAAGTGCTTTGACAATAAATACATAAATAAATGTCATCTGTGGAAGCCGTGGCGCTGTAAAAAGCACGACCAATCATCTGAGCCGGCCCGGCTAAAATAACTGGATGGCCTACCTGCCTGTCAGCCTTCCATCTGTGCACAAACTTATCTGGTGCCCTCATTGGTCATGTGCGCGTTCGTGTGTGTTGGAGGAGGGGCTCTATAAGGAATTTCAGGTATTTTCAAATTCTAGCGCACTCGAGTTGGTTTCTCCATTCTTACCTATACCTTTAAAGGTGGGGTATGTAATTTTGGAGAAACCAGTTATTTTAGCCGGGCCGGCTCAGATGATTGGTCGTGCTTTTTACAGCGCACATGGCTTCCACAGATGACATGTTTTTATGTATTTATTGTCAAAGCATTTAATATATTCATTGCTATCGGGATGTTAAGAGCATTCCATGGAATATAACAACAAGTGTTTCTGAAATAAATTACATACCCCACCTTTAACAAATGATATCTAATAAGTACACATACAAACTTAAAGTGGACCTATCATGCTATATTATAATAATATAGTGTAGGACCATACCTATATAAGGCATATTTATACTTTTTTTTTTTCAAAATACCAAACAGACAGTGGCGGCCGGTCCATAGGGGCGCTAGGGGCGCCGCCCCACCTCTTCCCATATTGAAAAAAAAAAATTAAAAAAAAAATTAAAATTAAAATAAAAAAAAAAATATATGTTTAAAAAAATATATATATTTTTATTTTTAATGAACAAGGTAAATATTATATAATTGGTATCAGTAAAATGTATAATCTACAATAAAATCTCGTTTAAAATTGTGTTACGATGTCTAAAGTTACTGATAAGTCACATGTTTCCTGCCTGGCCTTGCCCATGCGCCTTCTCTCGTCTGGGCGCTAAGAGAGGAGCCTTCAACCAGTGCAGCAGCAGCCACTAGCAGCTGACTGTTGCTATCTGTAATGTGTAAACTATGCCGCGAAAATATAATTTCAGCCAATCAGCGTCGTCAAAGATGACGGTCACCGGGCGCCAATGTCAGCGCCCAGTGCAGTCTGTGAGTAGTTTGGACAGTGACTCGTATCCGGTTGACGCAGTAGTTGATGAGGATGGCTTCGTGTGCAGGTGGAGTCTCCGGACCTCGGTCCCCGCCTAATTCTGTTCAAGAGCTAATCTCCAATCCTTTCGAAAGGAGAAGTTTGGCAGATAAATTGTTGCTTAAAGACCTTGGACCGGACCAACCCGATTTGAATATATCGCAGCAATCTCGTGAAAAAGACAACATTTATACACGAGGCTTCACAAGTAGCTGGTACACAAGAAAGGCTTGGCTAGCTGGATGCAAACAGGTAAATGCTGTCTTTTGTTTCCCATGCTTGGATATCACTTTATATGTAGAGAGGAGGTTTCCCATGGTTGTTAGAAGTTTATTAATAAGTGGGCATTTATCACAGAAGTGATTGTTCTGTCTCCACGTTTGTTGCATTGTCTGTGATGTATTTTCCAACGGTTCCTGGTAAAGTAGTAGATGTTCAGGTTGATAAATAATATTTTCCACACTGAAGATTATGGAGGTATTGATCAGTCTTCTCATATTTTTAAGCCTCGATTTCTCCTTTCCCCCCCCCTCTAACATCACCAGAAGTCATCATTTAAGGGGTCATTTCTCTAAAAAAATTTGCGGGGGGAAACCCCCCGGACCCCCGGACGGGTCACTCCCGGTACGTCAAGAGCCCCACCAAAAAAATAGACCACCGGCCGCCACTGCAAACAGATCATGCATTTTAGCCATGCCTCATTTTGCTCAATTTGCACTTTTTTACCCCTGTTTTTGCAAGGGCTGATTCTGTGAGAACAGCACCATCTACAGGCCTGGCATATGTACTACAGCGTCTCCAGCGCTTTCGAACGGCAATGGCCGTGGCTGTCTCCTCCTGATTGGTGGAGTTGGCCCAATAGCCGTAGCGCCACCGTCCTGACGTCAGCACAGTGTTCAAATCTGGATCAGTTT